TGAATACCTACTAGTAGATGTTGGCAACACAGCACTAATGCACAGTCCTTGCTACCATGGAACTTAGACAATCATTAAATCATTAAACTAAAAAGTGATCTCAACATTTACAGAGAGGTAAGTGCATGAGGGAAATGAACAGAATGAGCAAGAGCATTAAATGGAGGGCCTTCTATACTTCAAGACACTCATGGAGGAAGCGACAGAATACTTCCAGCATTGCTATGATATTTTAGGTTCTGAAAGAAAGACCGATGTCTGGAGTGAAATGGTTGAGAGAAGAGTAGTATGGAATCTGTTTGGAGAAGTAGGTTGGGGTCAGATCAGGCAGGGGTTTGAAGGCCAGGAGAAAGAGAAGTATTCATTATAAATTCATGACAATCTCAACAGTTTCCAGAAGCACAGTTAGCCATCATACCATGTCTCTTCTTTACAAAGATCACTCTGCTCAACCTCCAGTTTAACCTTCTTCCATTTCACTGAATGATGCCATCTCTTACTCTTTCGGAGAAAATGGAGGATTCTGGGCAGAAACTTCTTTACTGATTCCAACCACACTCATTACCGATCTTGTCTTCTCCCTTCCTAAGATACTAGGATGTCAACTCAGGAATTATTCATTGTGTTTCTTAAAGAGTTAACCTCTGTAAGTGAAATTCATCCCACTAGTTGTTAAACATGTAACTCTCCCACTTAAACAAATAAAACCAAGCAACCTTCATTTGTCTTTCTTATTCTCTCCTGCTGACTCCCATCTGCTTCTCCATCAAAATAACTCTCACTACAGCAACACAACCTTGTGTGCCTAAATCTTTTTAGATTTTTTTCCTAATCCTTCACCGAATTCTCATCATCTTCAAGATCTGTCATCCTCCTACTGAAATAAATTCTTCTCTGATTTTCAAAATATGTCTCCTTTTCTTCTGGTCATTTCTTTTCATCTCATTTGCAGATTCCTTTCCTGGCCTTTATTCTAGACTCTTGAATCTCTGTGTATATGTGCATTTCTTGATTATTTACTTTCAAATTTGAAAGGCATAGTAACAGATTGAAAGAGAACTTCCATCTGCTGGTTTACTCCCCAAATGGCCACAAGCGCAGGGGGCTGGGCCAGGCGGAAGCCAGGCGTTTCTTCTGGTTTCCTACAGGGATGCAGAGCCAAAGCACTGAGTCCATCCCCCACTGCTTTCCCAGGCACATTAGGAAGGAGCTGAATTATAAATGGAGTAGCCAGCAGTTGAACCAGCACACATGAGATGCTAACACTGTAGGCAGCAACTTAATTCACTATGCCACAATGCCTGCCTGATTCTCCATGTTTCCAGCACAGTTATCTTCTTTAGGCAGGTAATTCACAAATTTCTATTCCATCCCACAACTCTTGCTGATCTGTTAATTAATCACATATTTTCCCACTGGCATCACAAAGTACACATAGCTAAAACCCAATTACAAACTCCTCCTCGACACCTTGCTCCTTTTCCAGAACTCCCTCTGTACTTGAACAGTGCCATAATCCATTTAGTTTTGCGTTCTATAAACCTAGAGGCCATTAGCTACCTGCTGTATTGGGTCCCTCAACACCCAATCAACTGCCAGCATCGCCACAGCAACAAAACCAGATAGCATTAGCTGAGGTCCTCTTTTAAATTACCGTACTTGGGCCATTCAGATTACTCATCACAGCCATGGAGGTAATTGTCACAATCATGTCCTGTTGCTTTTGCCTCCTAAATGTTCTAGATCTATCATCTTTTCTTCACTGTTATCACTGTTCATCACAGTCACCATCTCAGTGCAAGACCTTCATATCTTGCTGCACTATAATAACTTTCTGATTGGTCTACCAAGCAACCACTCTGAGTTCTTAACTCCATTAAAAGAGAGAGAGAGAGAGAAAAAAAAGCATCCTTTTCAAAAGAAAAAAATAAATTAGCAAACAAAAAACAGAAAAAGAAAATAATCACCATCTGGACCCCACCCCAACATGTATGTGTGCAAGAACACTAAACATTTTGGGGCAAGGGCTTGTGTTGTGGTATTGCAAGCCAAACCACCGCTTGGGACATCCCATATTGGAGCACCTCTTCTGCTGCTCTGCTTCTAATCCAGCTTCCTGCTGATGTGCCTGGGAAGACAGAGAAAGATGGCCCAATTACTTGGGCTCCTGCCACCCACATAGGAAATAGGAATGGAGGTCCTAGATCCTGATTTTGACCTGGTCCAGACCTGGCTATTGTGAACATTTGGGGGAATTCATTCAAAAGGTACAGTGTCAGAGAGGGAGAGATCTTGCATGTGTTTGTTCACTCACCCCAGCCAAACTTGACTCATTACTCAATGCACGCGCAAGTCCCTAGGCTCTTCACCAACGTCATCTCTCACCATCTCCCCCTCTTCTGTGCTCTTCCTCACACTGGCCTTCAATCACTCCCTTGTAGCCACCATTCTACTCAGAGCCTTGGTATGTGCTGGTCCCTCTACCTGACAGGCCCTTCCCTCTCTGTTCTTTGCCTAGTTAACACCTACTCTTCATTCATTTCTCAACTACTGCTTCCTTACGGAAGCTTTCCTGCAGGAAGGAAAGCAGCTGCCTTATGCACATGGAATTACGTTGCCTGGTATTTACACTCCAAAAGTTTGACCCTCGGTAACTTTGAAGGGTGGTGGTGGGCTGATACCAAGCTGGAGACCACCCCAGCCCTGACGCCAGGAAGGCTATTTGGTGTGACACTGTAATAGTCTCAGGAGGAATTTCATACCTAGAAAACCCTTTGTCCAGCAGTACCCCACAAGGAGGGGAGGGAAGAAGATACACCCCAAGCTCTGCCTCCTTTATTTAAAATACTCTCAGGTGCTACCTTGGGCATCACCCATCCTATGGTGCCAGTTTGTGGGAGACCTGGAAGACGCTCTGGGTTCTTGGGATTGTACAGGTTCAGCTCTGGCTGCTGTAGCCTCTTCAGAAGCGAACTAGCAGATGGCTGCCTACATCCCCACCTGAAGGTGCACTTTCCCTTTCTCAAATAAGTCTTTTGTCCCCATCTCCTTCAGGAATTCTTTCACCTGGGAGGCAAGGGCCCGAAGCAAGTCTCCTTGGGAGGGGGAGCTTCCTGCCTTCCATTCTTCCCTCTGAAACACCCAACCCCACAGCTGCCAGCTAAATAAAGATCATTTCTTTAGAAATTGCTAAACCTCAGAGATTTTGTTGCAGCAACAGTAAACAGAAAATATAGCTACCCAGAAAGAGAAAGTGACCTAAATTCCGTTCCCTAAGACCACAAAACAAATTCATGATAGAACAGGGAGGGACTGAAACTGAGGTGTGTTAATTTCAGAGTGTTCTCAAATTTTTGCAGGGATGGACAGGGTCTCTCATTTAAACACTCCTCCTGATCCCCAGAGTAATGAAGTCATACAGGGAACCGACTGGTCATCTCACAAAACGATTTACTAAAGGACAAGAACACTGATAAAATGGGTCCTCACTCCTCCTCCCTCCTGCAGCTCAGTCCAGCTTTTGCTTCCCCAGGTTCTCACCAACTGTACCTGTCAGTGGTTCTGGGAGAAGTCTTCCCTTGTGTTGAGATGTGACCCAGCACAGAGACAGCATATAGCATATGCACAATGTAAATCCACAGCAAAGTGAAACTACACTTGTGATTAAAAAAAAAAAGATGCAGGTTTCTACAAAGCGGGTAAAGGTGCTAGGGGAGAACGGTTGGAATCACATGCAAAGCCAATCACAAAAGAAGAACGCAGCACTTAAGGTCAGCCAGCGCTGTCGGGGAGCTCCCTGGCGACTTTTCATGTATCCACGTTCCCCTTGCTACTCAGTAACTAACTCCACACACAGATGTCAACATAAAAGACAGTCAAACAAGTGCACGTGCAGAGAGTTAAACGCACAGCGCCCGTTTCCTCCTCCTTCGGTAAACATATGATTCTGCAACTTTCCAATTAAGGATGAGACAAGGCTTTACAAAATCCTAATCCAGGAATGAAAACACAGATGCCTGGGCCTAGTGGGAGGAGGGGGGACCATCAGAAGTCCTCAAACAGGTTCTAGCAGGGCCAGCTGCGTCGGACTATACCATTACAAGCCCACGCTGTCAAACTACACGGGCAAAATTAGAAGCTAGCTGAATCGCAAACGCAATTAGATGGAACGCGAAAGAGCACAGCTGAGACCACAAATTAAGGAGCACAAAACAATGCAATCAGCCTTCAGGACAACTTGACCAAAGACCAGGAAGATATTTTCACTGGGGTCTACCGCCCTGGTTCCGGAGCCCATGAACAAAGACCAGATCGCTGCGGCAGTCAGCGAGTTGAAAGCTTCTAATTCCAATCCCAGCATGCCTCCCGTCAACCGAACTCCTTCGCTCAACCAAGCAAGGTTCCCTAGTTTTCCTAGCCGCTCACGCGTGTGCTTTGTCCTTTCCAGCAAAACACAAAAACAAAAGACCCGAAACGTGCCGTCCAACCTCCTCGGATGCGTCTCCTTCTTTCCAAGCCACACTTTCGGTCTGTAAGGCCCAACAGGAGCCAGGTGCCTCTCCTAGGACTAAGCAAAGCCCACCTCACCCTTTTTGGGCTCACCACCTTCCGCCGACCTCCACGCGTGCACCACATACCAGAGACACAACAAAGGGCCGCTCCGAGTCAAGGGGACGGGAAGCGCGCGGGGCTCACCCAGGACCGTGAACTTACCCTAAATCAACACGGGAGCACCGGCTTTCCACGAGCCCCACCTGGGCCACGTCGCAGGGATGCGGTGTGTGTGCGTGTGTGTGGGTGCTGTCCTCCTCCCCAGGCGCTGCCCTGCAGGAGACCTCGCGTGCGATGGGGATGCGGGGGTGGGCTTGGGGATGCGAGACACCTACCGCGGCCGGACCCCCACACAGGAGAACGGAGGGCGCGCCGTGACGCCACCCGCCCTGCGCCCAGGCCGCCTCCCATCGCGCCAGGACCCTCCCCTCCTCCCACGGGGGCGGCACCTGTTTTCTCATGTTGTTCATGACGCCCATGAAGCCCGCCAACAATTTGGCTTCTTCCCGAGCGGCCAGTTTTTTCTCCGTCTTTTTCTTGCTGCTCTTCTCCACTCCCGAGGTTGCCATGGTCCCTCAGAGCGCTGAGGGTGGAGACGGTCAGGGCCCAGGCTGGCTGGCTGGCTGGCCTCGCCGGGCGAGTAGGGTCAACTCTTCTCCGGAGGGCAGCCCTGCGGCCGCGGCTGCACCCAGCTCGCGAGCAGGCGACGCCGGCTCAGCCTCTGTTAGAATGACAAGGCCCGCTCAGCTCCCTGCTTCTCCAGCGCTCTGAGAAGGAGGAGCCCCGGCCCGCTCGCCGGCCTCCCCGCTGCAACCCACCAGCTGGAGCCCCACTAACCCGCCTGAGGAGCCTGCGCACTGCGCTCGGGCACCGGGGTAGGCGTGGGGGGCGGGGCTAGGGACGGGGCGGGGCCTAGTGCGTCACAGCCGCGCGACGCGCGCAGGGGCAACCTGGGGTCTCAAGGCAGCGGTGGAAGGCCGACCGGCTCGCTGGTTGGAGCAAGGTTCGATGGAACTGAGTCAGATCGCTTTCCGATCTGTCCGAGACCGAGCGGTCTTGCGGATGTAGAAGACGTGGTTGTCACACGGCAGCGTCTCCCAGCTGTGTGGGAACTGCAGTATCCGAGCAAGGCTCAGTCAGTGGTGGTTAAACGGTTAAGCTGAAGGCTTGCTGCACCTCGCTTAGTGTTGATGAAGCAGGAGCCTACAGGTTCTAGTAGGTTCTACCAGGCTTGCGTCCTCCATCCAAAACTGAGATCCGGGGCCAGTATTGTGGTGGCGCTTGTTAAGCTGCCATATGGGTGCCTGTTCGAGTCCCGGCTGCTCTACTTCCGATTCGGTTCCCTTCTGATGTACCCGAGAAAGCACAGGATGATGACCCACATGCTTGGACTTCCTGAATGAAGTTCCTGGCTTTGGCCTGCCCCATCCCTGGTTGTTGTGGCAATTGGGGCAGTGAACCAGTGATGGAAGACGTCTGTGTTACTTTGCCTTTGAATAACACAGACAACCAGTCAACCAGCTGTAACCCTCGTCAGGTCCGGAAATTTTCCATTCAGGCTTCTGCGAAGTATGGCACTCAGTCATGGAAACGAATTCTGTAACATTCTTTGTTAGGGAAGATGGCTGGACCATCATGTGGGTCAATGAGTGTGTGACCGCCAGCTCTCTGGGGACGAAAGCCCTGGTGTCTAACATGTGCCGACTTCACATTCATATCAGTTCTCACTGAGCACTCTTCCAACAGCCATCAGCGAGCACAAAGAACAGGTGCACAGTAGGCCGCTTTGACCCTATTTCTAATGGACAGGCTTGGGATAGAGTGTCCTCTTCCGGTAACAGAAGAGTTCCAGCTGTGACACAAGGAGTAGAGTGCCAAGAGGGTGGCCAGCCTTGATGGTGTAGGGCTTCTGTGAGAACAGGTGGATCTGAGAGAGCATACCCAGTTATTCAGACCGGAAGATGCAAGGTTTAGTAACACCTGACAGGACAGACTGGCATCTTGGGAAAGAACTGAGAGCTGAGGGCCCCGTTAGCACTTAGACTGTGGCTTGTAAAGGGATGAAGTCCATGCCTGCCTGCCTGCCATTTCTCCACCCCTCCCTGCCCCACTTCTCCCAGACAAAGGGTTTTCCTTGGGTATGAAATTGGTGAATTGTCTCCCATGATTTTGTTACCCAGTATTATCAGACCAGATAGCTCTTTTGGGGTGCATTTGGGGCTGGGGAGGGTAAGACAGGGACTGCCTAGGAAGTTACTGGGTACGAGCAGGGCTTTGTAGTGTAAAACATTCAGGTTGTTTCTGAGTCATGTATCCCAGGTTGCTGAAGTCCTTTCTGCAGGTCTGTTGTTCTCCGAGGCCCCTTTAGCACACACAGGCCAGTTTCTGTCTTCCTAACACTGCTGCAGTATACTTACACAGGATTATTTGAAACTGTTACTTTGCATTCTGAAAGCTTACTACGTGTCTCCTTTGTTTTAACCCAGATCTATTAGAACTATATGGAGGCATATTTCATGCAAAGCAATTTACACTATTAAAGGATTGGATTTTCTTTTTACTTAAGATTTATTTATTTATTGTATTTATTTTTATTGGAAAGGCAACTACAGGGAGATAAAGAGGAACGAGGATCTTCACTCCCCCTAGTGGCTGCAATGGCTGAAGCTAAGCTGATCCAAAGCCAGGAGCCAGGAAACTTCCTCTAGGTTTCTCAGGTGGGTGCAGGATCCCAAGGCCTTGGGCCATCCTCTACTGCTTTCCCAGGCCACCAAAAGGGAGCTGGTTGGGAAGTGGAGCAGCCAGGATTAGAACCGGCGCCCATATGGTATCTCAGCACATGCAAGTGAAGATTTTGCCACTGGACTATCATGTGAAAGATCTATCTATTTTGAAGAGGCACACATAGAGAGGGAGAGAGAGATGTCTTCCTTTCACTGGTTCAGTCCCAAGGGCCTGATGGTTCTGATGGTCCTCAATTCTGATGGGCATATCCCTGAATTGAACTCTGTTAACTAGGTTCCTTCTACTCTGTCCCATGTTTGAAATTCTTCCTCTTCCAGAAAACAAGGACCTGCATTTAAGCCTCTACCCCTGCTAATGAATCCATGATTCAATGGCAAAAAATATAAATAATGGGATGGAGGGCTGGTCTGTAACAAGACAAAAAGAAACCATAGAATCCTGCAGAAGTGCCTTGGCATTGGAACAGTCCTTTCATAATATGTCCCTTGAAGTCCTTGGAGAATATGAAACATTGAAGTTCGTGGAAGAGCCACAGAGTTCAAAGCTCAGGAGACCGTGGAGGGGTCAGGGTAGTGGTTAAGAGAAGGCATGGACTACCTTAGTGCCAGCTGCTCTAATCTTGATCCAATTTTCTGCTAATTCCTGAGAGACAGCAGATGGTTGTTCAGATACTTGGCTCTCGGATATCTGTGTGGGCGGCTGGATTAAGTTCCAGACTCCTGGCTTGGGCCTGTCTCCAGCCTTGGTTGTTGCAAGCATATGGGGAGTAAACCAGCAGATGGAGAATCTTTGTCTCCCTCTTTTCCTCTCTCCCTCTCCTCCTTCCCTCTATCTCTGTACCTAAAATAAATCAAATTTAAAAAATTAAAAATGATAGATCACAGAGATTATATAGCACAGATAAAATAGAAGGTTTTGCCTGGATGCAAAGTCTAGTGACCTAACTACTGTTGTGCAACTTTGAGCAAGTCCCTTAATTTCAGGCCCAGTGTAATAGCCTAGTGGCTAAATCCTCGGCTCGCATCTGCCAGGATCCCATATGGGTACCAGTTTGTGTCCTGGCTGCTCTACTTTCCTTCCAGCTCCCTGCTTGTGGCTTGAGAAAGCAGTAGAGTATGGTCCAAGGCCTTGGGTCTCCGCACCCACGTGGGAGACCGGAAAGAAGCTCCTTGCTTCAGATCAGCTCAGTTACAGCCATTGTGGCCACTTGGGGAGTGAACCAGTGGGGGGTGGGGGGGAGGAATCTTTCTGTGTCTCCTTGTCTCTGCTTATCTGCCTTCCCAATAAAAATAAAATAAATCTTCAAAAAAAAATCTTGAACAAAAATTCCTTAATTTCTCTTATTCTATAATTCTCTCATCTATAAAAACAGAACTTTCGACGTGCAGCTGGCTTCAGGCTTACAAAATTTATGGTAGCTCCAGCACAAAGCCCTCAGTGTTAGGGCTGGTACAGCAAACTAAGCTGCTGCTAGTGATGCTAGTGTCCCATATCAGAGCACTGGTTCAAGTTCTCCTTGCTTTGTTTCCAGTCAAGCTTTCTGCTAAGATACCTGCGAAGTCAGCAGAGGATGCTTCAAATACTTGCATCCCTGCTCCCCATGTGGGAAACCTGGAGGAGTTCTTGGCTTCTGGCTTCAACCTAACCCAGCCTTGGCTGTTGTAGTCATTGGGGAATGAACCAATGCCTGGATGATCTCGCTCTCTCTCTCTCTCCTCCTCACTCCCTCCCTCTCTCCCCTTCTCTTTCTCTGATTTTGTCTTTTAAATAAAGAATAAATAAATAACACCAACAAAAAAGTGGGAGGCGAGGGATGGTGGTTTAGGCAGTCAAGCCCAGGCAACCCACAGAGGAGACTTGAATTGAGTTCTGGTCTCCTAATTTTGGCCCAGCTCAGCCCAGCCCCAGCTGTTGTAGGCATTTGGGAAGTGAACTAGCATGTGGGAGCTATTTCTCTTCTAAGGTTTGTTTCCTCATTATTTTTGGTTTGCATTTATGTCACAGTTTCATCAATTCCCACCCGTGTGATCTAGTACTTACTAACCTTCTCTTCTTTTTTTTCCCTCTGATAAAAAATCAAGGTTTCCTTACTTTATCAAGAATAGTATGTATATACATACGTACATACATATATATCTTACATTATTTCATTATTGATAAGACATTTGTTGTCAGAGGGTGGAGCCTGGGCCACTCTGTTTCATTTCCCGTGCTGTGGAATTGCTGGTTGCCCTGACAGGGCCTGGAGCCTCCTCCAGCCCTGTAATAGGATCTGTGAGTCAGGCTAAGTTCTGACGTTCTGATGTTCACTGCAGCCATTTCTGGTTTCAGGAAGGCTGGCAGGGGAAGGGTTTTTCCACTCTTGTCTGCCTGCACCAGGGCCTTGTGTGAGTGGATGGGGAGTGCCCTCCCTGCTGCTCACACAATGACACTTTCTCCCCCCTTAGACTCTTGTTCCCCATGTATGTATAGCTCTGATAGCTGGTGACCTTGGCAGTGAGGTGGTTCACATACAGGGTTTCCAGAACTTTGTGCTGAATCCCTTAACATTATGTGACACCAAAATCAATACATACCATTTGACAATGTTTCCCTTCTGGGTGAAAACAAATGATCATTATTCCTTCTTCTGCCGGGATGACAGAAAGTGAATGTTCTCTTTATTCTCCAGAAACCCAAGGATAATGCAAAATGTTTTCTACCATATCCATGAGACCATGTTTCCATTTAGCCTACTTCACCTGCTTCCACACGTCTGTTACATGTAACGTTCCAAAAATGACTCTGAGAAAAGACAAAAGAAGGCTAATGTGATTCAGAAGAATACCTTGGATAAGAATTAATGATTCTTGCTAAATGTAATCTGGTTTCTCTTCCAAGAATAATTCATTTGCATTCAGTGTAGCATCTGTTAGTGGAAAACAAGGCTGGTCTGCTTTTTCTATCTCAGTATCATTAAGATGAATAGTAAGTAGTGTCAAGGTTTCTATTAGGTTATCTCAAAATAAAATGCTTGGAAATTCCCCAGCCATGCTGAATTCAACAAAGCCGAATTTTTAATCATTGTTAACAAATTGTCTATGAGTGTTCAAGCACTAAAA